ATTGCTTCCAATACAACTAATGCATCCTAATAACTTCTTCACACTTACTATTTTATCCGACTTGTATGTATTTAAATTCTTGGCAAGTTGTAAACCAATTGAAACCTGAACTGCTTATTTAGTTTAGTAACTTATGACTTTAATTTCACAGTTCATAATAATTATTCAACCATTCTCCATTATTATATTATTCCCAAACATCACATATTCACACATGAATTAACCGAATTTCTGGATCCAAGATCTAGAGCATAGAACATGAAGGCAGGAATTCTTGAAGTTCTTCTGGTTTATGCTAAAGGCATCAAACGCACCAACCTTTGGTATATAGTATATATTGAAATCCAAAATTTCTATTAATATTCTGTATTTTTTCAATCTTTAAAACTTATCGTAACGTAGCTTATGACAGCCAAAAAAAAAATGCTTGAACTTTTTTTGTCAGGAAAGCCATCCTATTATGTGATTCTTGAATGTGGAACTCAATCTCAAAGAAGCAAAATGTCATCAGGTGTATTTACTTTTCGTCCCCCTCTTATATATGTTCAGCTTCATGTTCTTAATGGAAAATATTTAGACAAAACTAAATTAGCTATAACAGTATTGAAAAACTGGACTTGCTATATAGTATATGTCTTATATTACATTTTAATTATATCTGTTACTATAATTTTTTTTATTTTCGTTAATATAAAATAAATGATAAATGAGCTGTGAATAATGCAGGAAAAGATAAGAAAACGTGGTGGAATGAGAAATTCACATTTGAATTATCATCATTTGATGATAGGAAGAAGTTAAATCACCTGAAGTGTACAATCATGGACACAGAGCTCTTTACAAATGGAGGATTTGTGGGTGAATCCAGGTTACATATTTTCTTTTTTTTGTTTTCCTGCATTATCATTAATTTTCCCATTAGTAGACAAAAATGAATCTTCGAATTACAGGATCCACTTGATTGCAAGACTATCACTAATGCTTTTACAATATGTGTGTGTGTGTGTGTGTGTGAGCTTAAGGGTTATTTGAAAATCTATGCAAATGCAATTTTAGATATACAATTATTTATAAATTTACAAAAATGAAATCAATTACTAATGTTTAAGCAATAAGCAGTTGGTTTATTTGAAGCAATATTTTGTTTAAAATTATTTTTTTAAAAAAAAACAGAATTTACATAGGAAGAATAATCTCATCAGAAGGAACAGAGAGAGGATATGTAGAAATAAAACCAGCTCCGTACAATGTGGTGCTTGAAGATGACACCTACAAAGGACAGATCAAGATTGGATTTAAACTCTTCGTGAACGTAAGCCTTTCTTTCTTCTTCTCTTCACCTGAAACCCTTTTTCATATATATTTTTTTCTATTGAAAATAAGCTCACTTATCTGCAGAAAGAAAATCATGAGATAGACGCGGGAGAATCAATGGTAGAGATAAAGGAGCAGGACGTTCCATCATTGGATCCATTTTGAGGTTGTGGAGAATATCGTGGTGGAAAATCCTCTTTTTATATAATCATAAAAAGACTACCAGGGACACAGATTATAAGAAAATAGAATTATTACCATTTTGTTACAAAGCATTTATAAATTACTAATGGGTATTAAAAGTACTGTTTGCTCGATGTTAAATTGACTTAACAATTACATTGACTCATTTTAATTTACATTCTTTAATAAATTAAATTAAATTTTATTAGGGTATACTCATAAATAATTGCTTTATTCTAGTATCATTTACAAGAGCTTGAAGCAATTGGACAATGTGTACGTAACAGGTGAGAAAGGTTGATTTCACTTGAATAAAGCTCACTTTTTATTTTCCTTTTTATCCCCTTTTTTTCTTTTTTGCCTTGTGGAATGCAGAAAGAATATACCCTTTGCCGATCTTGATATATTATATGTATAAATATTGAGACTAAGTTATTAATAAATATATTTTTCAAAAAAATATATATTAAATTACCACCTTTCACCAAGGGAAATAATAAATTAAGTTTCTAGGGGCCTAATGATATTTGTTTTTAATGAAAATGCATGATATATTATCTATATTCTAAATATCAAAAGGAAGGCCATGTTTTTAACATATGCATACCTTTTCTCTTTTGCCCGAAATTGAAATGTATATTACCATATAGTATTTGAAAAGTATTTTGACCTTTCGATCTTCAACCATACATTAGCCATATATTCTTTTCGACTATCGAACTATATACATGGAGGGAAATGGTGTGCACGTTTGTCAACATGTTGCGTTTCGCGATTTTTTAGGTCTCTAAAATGCAAACTTCTCTTGAGAAATCATATTATATTAGTTAATATCAAGTTAGTATGATATTATTAATTTATATGTAAATGTGGCTCATGAAGCTGCAGGGATCGTTCTTCATTTCAACCATTTAAATTAAATTTAAATTTGCTATATCGAATTTAATAGTTGTTCTCATGGATGCTTTCCAAGCTAACTTCCGACAAGACTAGCCAACCAGATGTCTGAAATTTCAACCATCAAAATAAAAATGACAAAATTAATGTTCGCTCACATTCATTACCTCACCTCTTTTTTGTTTTCCCTCCATTTCCATCATTTAAGGAAGTTCATTGAATATAGCCAACTACTATATTGTTAATTAACAGTCCATCTCATGTTACTTATATTCAACCAGCTAGCGCCGTTTAGTATATTTACAAATTTATTTCATTTTATTTTGTATTAATATAAGTCTCATTCAGTGTGTGTATTAAATAAATAATAAAAATGGCGTTAAAAATATTCACAAAAAATGGTGTTTAATTGAGATAAATTGGGGTGATTAACAAAAGAGTATTCTGTTTTATCATATGCGAACAAAAAAACTTCAAGACAGTTAACACAGATTAAAGTTTTCTTTTGTACCATTTGGTTTTAAAATATTAATTGTTATTAAAATGAAATGAAATATTATTTTTCAACTGAGATCAACAAGCGATAGAGATGTGTACCTTATTCTCTGCTTCACATGCTGCCATTGCCAAATCAATCTTTGACCTCAACTGATATAAATTTTTTTTAAATAATAGTTAAGTTTTAAAATACTAAATTAATAATTTTGAAATACTTAATAATTTTTTTAAAAAAAAGTTAAAAATATCTATCCTAATCATTATAAAACTGAATGTAACTTTTAAATTATATATTTTTATTTATGACTGTTTGAATTGATATTTATAATTTATTTTTTAAAAAAATTTTTCAAAATTAAACTGTCATTAATTCAATCATTTAGAACATAACTGTTATTCTCTCTCTTTTTTTAATCAATTTTTATATAAGGTCCTTCGTACCTCTTGGTCATTAAATCAAATATTTGTATATTCATATGATAGAAAGTCGTTAATCTTGGATGGCAAAATACAGCAGCATTCTCGTCCGTGAACCTGAATAAATAGCACAAAAAATTTATCTTTATATATATATATATATATAATATGTTAGGTACGTCTAAAATAATGACACACACACACACACACACACACACCACACACACACAAATAAACGAGCTGTATTTTACATTCCATTTAACTGGACTAACAACTGATTACGATTTCTTCAAATAATTCATCTTGATAATTAACACAATAATCTAAAACATTTTAGACTTAGTTGGCCACAAAGAACAGACATTTTTATCTCAAGTTTGGGAATATCAAAATATTACCACTTTATAAAATTCAATCCCCCTGTAATTATTGTTCAATTCAGACATTTAAAATAGCTACTTGTTTAAAACTCAATTGACAAACAAGATCAATCAAGATGAAAAGGTACGGTAAACAACACATTCTATGAAAAAAAAAAAAATCATAGAAAAATATTCTTATTGATGTCATAAAATTAACGAAGAATTTTATATGAATTAAATTTTTGAAGAATTAAAATTATATCAAATTTTTGGAGTTTTCATTTAGTTTGAACAAAAATATAATATTTTAGATAGAAAACTTGAAAGAATAGAAAAAAATTATATATTTATATAATATAAATTTATAAAAATGGTAATATTCATAAGTTACACACGCCTGCAATCTAATCTTTTTAATGGAATAAGAAAAAAAAAAATACTGAATAACATATATTTTATTATTATTGATATTGATTAACAACCATACATAAAATAAACAGAAGAGACAGGAAACTGGAATCCGAGTTTCATTCCAAAGTCCAACTGTAATAAAAACACAGCTTGCATGTCTTATTCTCCTCTCCCACCTCTTTCCTCACCCATGGAGTAATCTCGCCATTTCTGAAATTCTCTTTTCCCCCTTCTTCTTCAGCCCAATAATTTCCTTCTCTTTCATATTCTTCCCGGAAAAGTTTCCTTTTTTGGTATGTGAAGTCCTCATCAGAGAAGGCGATAAAAGCCCCGCAACGATTCTGGCCACAGTGGGTAACTGTTTCAAATGCTTCTTCCGTTTTCGCTTCTCTCTACTCTTTCTGTTCAACTAAAGGTAACTTTGATAGCTACAGAAATATCTGTTGGCGACCGTTGCTTTTGTTTTTTTATTTTTTCTATCCGTTGTTGCTCTCTTCGAGTTTTGAAACTTTCAGTTTGTTTTACTGTCGGAAAGTAATTAAAGAGTAGTACTTTCTCTTATTTATATATGTTGAGAACTTTAGCTGGGATTTCTCGTTCTGGTACTTTTGGTCTCATCAGCAAGAACATTCTTTGGTTGCTTTTCTTTTTTTGTGTGCTTTCAGAAGACAAGAAGATGTTCAAACTTTCAGCCTTTCTTTTGATCGCATTGCCCTTTTTATTTCTCTTTAGATTTATGTAGTTTATCTTCATTGAGAATTGTGCATATATGTTACTGTCCCACTAAATTTGTGTATTTGAAGGTGATCATGAAGTTCTTGAATTGGGAACCCTAAAAGTCCAAACCCTAATATAAGACACAATTATGATGACTTTGTGCAGGTTTTGAGGAATCTGACCATATAATCTTGAGCTCAGATGGACAATTTGTCAAATTTTGATGAAAACTGTGATGCTGGTTATCAGCCTTCAGCTTCCTCTGTAGATCAGAATGATAATCGGCCACTGGGTACTCCACGTTGAGTAGTGATTCTTTTGCCTACTGCCGGACTAACTCAGAGGCCTCAAATTTCTCAGAACCTGTTGATGACAATTGCTCTGCTAGCGAGCCCTCACCTTCTTGGTGTCTCTCTGCGAAACCCAGTGCTAATCAAGCAGTTCTTTCAAGGCTTGGGATAAAGCTGGGCAGGCATTCATTGGATAATAAACTTGAAGACCTGGATCTCTTGGAATCAGGTTGGTTTTGTTGAGGTTGTGCAGTTATTTGAAAATTTTTGTCTAAGACTAGTAATCAGCTTAATGTTTATGGAAAATCAGCAGAGCTTGAAATGATGAAGGAAAATTTGCAAAGCTTCTTCTTGGGGAAGATATGTCAGGCGGTGGGAAGGTGTCTGCACTGCTGTTACAATCTCAAATGCTATTACCAACCTTTATGGTAATTCTTTCATAGTAACTATTGCATAATCCAGTTGAAATTTCATGCATTCTATGTTAGATTTGAGAGCAAACTTATGTGTACTCCACACTCCGTAAATTTGGTTCTCAAAAGATAATTTCTTTCATTTAACTCCAAAGTCAAAACACTTATGGAAACCCTTCAGTATGGCCCTGCTATGGGCTAAGCTAATAGTTAGCAGAACTCACACAAGACCACATTGATGGAATTTTAAAATTTTTGGAGTCAAATGATGATGATTATAATTACCTTCTGATGATTAAATTGAGTGAATGTATATCTCCCAGTGACATATATAGTAGTTGATTCTTAATTCTAATGTCTGCAGCTACTGTTTTTGGACAAAACTTGAAGTTGGAGCCTCTGAAACCTGAGAAGAAGGCTATGTGGAGTAGGGAAATGAAATGTCTTCTATCAGTGTGTGATTACATAGTAGAATTTGCCCCAACTGCACAGTATTTAGATGGCACCATAATAGAGGTGATTTTTTTCTAAAACCATGACTATAAAGTTTAATGGACCTTGTTTGGAAATATCTGTTTGTATCTGATTGGATCCTGTGATTTCACCCAGATGATGACCAGTAGACCAAGGTCAGATATTTACATCACCCTTCCAGCGCTGCAGAAGCTTGACACAATGCTCATAGTTAGTCAAACATCTATTGCTTCTTGTACTGGACAATTCTGTCTCCTCTGGAAAACCTCATGACCTGTGGAGATTGATGATTTTACAGGAAATGCTAGATAGTTTCCAGGATACTGAATTTTGGTATGCAGAGCAAGGAAGCATATTGGGGAATTCTATGCATTCTCGTGTAGGCTCATTTCGAAAGATTGTTCAGAGAAATGATGAGAAGTGGTGGTTGCCGGTTCCTTGTGTTCCCCGCAGTGGCCTCTCTGACAATTCAAGGAAATACTTGAAAGCAAAACGGGATTGCGCTAATCAGGTTCATAAAGCAGCCATGGCTATAAATAGTAGTATTCTCGCAGAGATGGATATTCCAGAATCGTATATGGCCAGTCTTCCCAAGGTTAGTCCTCATTGATTAAAGACAGCCTATGTTTCTGGAAGTGTTAGTTTAAACTTAAAGTCCTAGCAGAATGAGTTTGCGATATTGTATAATAAATTGAGAGCTGAAAATGCTGGACTCTGAAAAATGCAATATTGTATAATAAATTGGTTTGGATTTGCGCTTTGAATTTCAATAAGATTTCATGGAAGCCTATCATGACAACTGAGGCTTGAAGAGAACAGTTTGGCATAAACTTATACTTAGGCTGCTGTAGCATCTAAACCTAATGGCATCCTCTTTTTGTGTGTGCTTATCTCCCAAAATTGGTGCAAAAACTCTAGAATAAAGTTGGAGCAGGAAAAGCCACCTTAGGTGGCATGGGTGGGTTAGCGTATAAGTGGAGATCAAGGTTCAAATCTTCTCAATGTTAAAAAAGAAGAAGAACAAGAAGTTGTTAGAGCAGGATAAGAATTTTTTGTATCAAGAACCACTTTAACACAAGCTCCACAGTCACCATATTAAGTACCAGTGGAAGTGGAACTCAAAAGCTTAAACCGCCCAGTGCAGAGTTCAGTTTCATAGAATGCAGCAAATCGCATGTCCGTGTCATTCTGAAAATGGCTATATTTATCTGACTTCGTTGCTGTTTCAAAATAAATCTTTTCAGAGTGGAAGAGCTAGTATTGGAGATTCAATTTATCGCTATCTTCATACAGCAGACAAATTCTCAGCTGACAATCTTCTTGACTGCCTCAAAATAAGTTCTGAACATGAAGCACTCCAGCTAGCAGATCGAGCCGAAGCATCAATGTACACATGGAGGCGTAAAGCTTGTCTGAGCCATTCGAAGTCATCATGGAGCAAGGTAAAGGACCTGATGTCGGATACAGACCTGAGTGACAAAAACTATATATTAGCTGAGAGAACCGAGACTCTATTTTATTGCTTGAAACAAAGATATCCTGAGCTTTCTCAGACTTCCTTGGACACATGCAAGATTCAATACAACCGGGTAAGTTTTAGGATCTATAAATTTATATTCGCACTGAAAAAATATACATACTCATATCAGTACTTCTTAGGTGGGCAAGAACCAAAAAACAAGAAGAGTGAGCTGAAGAACTGCAATTTGCAAACTAATATGCTGGAGAATAATGAAACTTTCTTGTGCAGGATGTAGGGAAAGCAATATTAGAGAGCTACTCAAGAGTGCTAGAAAGCCTAGCATTCAACGTTGTTGCTTGGATTGATGATGTTCTTTATGCAGATAAATCAGTGAGGAACCAAGATGTATAGAAATCCCAAATGGGGTTATCAGCTGCTTTCAGCATCTCTGCTCTCATGTTCAACATTTTTTTTATTTGTTTGTCACAGGCTTAGAAGAATCAGTGCATCATACATTGATATTTGTATGAGATGCTTTCCCATGCAAATGTATGCAGCTTAGTTGTTAATTGTACTACAGATTACTGCTTTCATATTGGATTTAATGATTTCAGCATTCTTGTAGCAGCTTCCTTTCAAAATGGAGGAGAAAAAATTGCAAAAAATTAACCGGTATCATTGATTCTTTAGAGTAAAACAAGGAAGAAACTTAGGTTGTAATGCCAAAATCAAAAGTTGTATCTATGTATGACATGTGAAAATCTTATATTAAAAATGTGACTTTAATGTATACATAGACACTTCAAATTTAATTACGATCGCCTAAATGTGTCCATGGTGTGCCTTATATTCAAATTAGCGATGATTATTAATTAAAAAATAATGGAAATAATGTTAATATTGCATTGGCATTGCTCAAAGCAAATAAAAAAAGAGAGGGGGTAAATTAAACCAATATCTACTAAGATTTGGCTTAATAACAGGGGTAATTATTTATCTAAAAATAACCTTACTTTATTTTATCAATAAAAATAATTTTTTTATAAGTTATAGTATATTTTTAGTCCTCTAACTTTATATAAATTTCAATTTAGCCTTTTAATTTTAAAAAATATTTTTTTCAGAAAAACTATATATTAGCTGAGAGAACCGAGACTCTATTTTATTGCTTGAAACAAAGATATCCTGAGCTTTCTCAGACTTCCTTGGACACATGCAAGATTCAATACAACCGGGTAAGTTTTAGGATCTATAAATTTTATTCGCACTGAAAAAATATACATACTCATATCAGTACTTCTTAGGTGGGCAAGAACCAAAAAACAAGAAGAGTGAGCTGAAGAACTGCAATTTGCAAACTAATATGCTGGAGAATAATGAAACTTTCTTGTGCAGGATGTAGGGAAAGCAATATTAGAGAGCTACTCAAGAGTGCTAGAAAGCCTAGCATTCAACGTTGTCGCTTGGATTGATGATGTTCTTTATGCAGATAAATCAGTGAGGAACCAAGATGTATAGAAATCCCAAATGGGGTTATCAGCTGCTTTCAGCATCTCTGCTCTCATGTTCAACATTTTTTTTATTTGTTTGTCACAGGCTTAGAAGAATCAGTGCATCATATATTGATATTTGTATGAGATGCTTTCCCGTGCAAATGTATGCAGCTTAGTTGTTAATTGTACTACAGATTACTGCTTTCATATTGGATTTAATGATTTCAGCATTCTTGTAGCAGCTTCCTTTCAAAATGGAGGAGAAAAAATTGCAAAAAATTAACCGGTATCATTGATTTCTTTAGAGTAAAACAAGGAAGAAAACTTGGGTTGTAATGCCAAAATCAAAAGTTGTATCTATGTATGACATGTGAAAATCTTATATTAAAAATGTGACTTTAATGTATACATAGACGCTTCAAATTTAATTACGATCGCCTAAATGTGTCCATGGTGTGCCTTATATTCAAATTAGCGATGATTATTAATTAAAAATAATGGAAATAATGTTAATATTGCATTGGCATTGCTCAAAGCAAATAAAAAAAGAGAGGGGGTAAATTAAACCAATATCTACTAAGATTTGGCTTAATAACAGGGGTAATTATTTATCTAAAAATAACCTTACTTTATTTTATCAAAAAATAATTTTTTTATAAGTTATAGTATATTTTTAGTCCTCTAACTTTATATAAATTTCAATTTAGCCTTTTAATTTTAAAAATATTTTTTCAGTCTTCTAATTTTAATACCGTTAGTTTCAAATGATTATTTTTTATATCAATCATTGTTATTTTAAAAAATTAAAATTAATATGTTAACATTTGAGAATGATTTGTTATTTTTTGGAATTTTAATATATATATATATATATATATTTTTATTGTTATGAAACTAATAGTGTTACTGATGGGAAGAAATAGAAAAAGAAATAATTAAATATATTACAGGTATATTGTAAATTTAAAAATTGAAGATATTTTGCTTTCATATTAATTACGTATATTTTTTTAATTTAAATTATTATTATCTTTCAACATTTATTATTATCTTTTCAGTTATTGTTATTTTTTTATTTAATTTTAAAATATCTATAATTTTCATGCATTTATATCTAGAGTTAGGTTTAAAGCCTATAAATAGCACCTTAATTCATTTGTTTTGTAGACGCACATTTAATTGAATAAGAATTACTATTATCTTGGCTCTTATTTGAGTTTTTTCTTCTCTCTATTATCTCTATAGATTCCTTTCTCTCTTTTTTATATTCTCTCCCCCTTTTCCTTCTCCATTTTGCATTAATTGACATCAGAGTTAAGGTTCTCATTCCGCTTCTATTATCAAACCCCTTCTTAATACTAAGAATCATCATACGGGAAGGCTTTGAGAGATAACTTTATAACTTAAGACTCCTTAAATTACTTGGTAAGGTTCTTCGATCCTAAATTTTAGGTCCCTTGTTATTTGTCTCTTTTCCTTCGTTCCTTTATTTAGTTATTATTTCATCTTTTCTTTCCTTCATTCACTCATTCAACTTTTTCTTTGATTTAATCCTAAAAAAAAAAAACACCTCATAAATAGTTTGGCCATATAGTTGGGTTAAAATCTACCCTAGGCTAGTTAAAATTTCTATGAGTTTCCCTGAGGGGTTTCCAAGCCTTCAGAAGTCATTGTGAAGACATCACTCAGATTGTTACTTATTTAACATATTTGATCCCTGAGGAACTTTTGAGTTCTTGGAGGATTAAATTTGTTAAATAGGGTCTTTACTTTTTAAGTGAGGGTAACTTGAGAACCTTTTCTCAAATAGGATATTAAAGCCTCCTAGTTAAAAAAAAAAAATCTCACCTTCCATTGCCTACAATCACCTAAAGAAAACCACATTCAGTTATGATGTTATGGCCTCATTTAATTGCTGACATAATTCTATTTACTATTATCAATATGATTATATTGATTGTCATCGATATAATTATTATTGTCAATGTGATTATGCTGATCATCACTGCTATGATTATGTCAATCATCATTAATGTCATTGCCAATATGATTTGGTTGATCAATCAGACTTGGATTTCATATGTTCGTGCCTTGAACTTGTGAGAGATAAAATTGATGAACTCCAAAGCTCCCTTTGATCAACATTAAAAAAAGGGCATTGCCATCAAGTTGAGAGAGAGAGAGAAAGAGAGAGAGGTCATATCGAAAGGAAGACACTTCTAATCCTATCAATAGCATCTTAAACCATACAAAGACCTTAATATTTTGACTTCTGAGGGGGATAATATGCTCAACAAAGATCTTTTACATATATCAGTAGTGCCAGAAAGTAATGGTGTTGATAATTTTGGGATTAATGTATGTGATAATTTGGACGTGAAGGAGGTTTCAAACTGTATTGAAGATTCTACACCTACTCTAAAGATTGGTGACGTTGAGAAACAAGTAGAAACTAGTAATATGACACAACAATTGCATATACAAATTCTACCTATGATGGTTATTCCTTTTGAAACTATTGATGATGGTATGCAATTTGATTCTGCTCCTATTTTACCCAGTTGGTCTGCTACAACATGTAGTGTTGAGGTTATTGCAACTTGGAAAGAACAAATTGTTCTTGAACCATATGGTCCCTCCAATATTATCTTATTTGTTGGAAATGATTTTCATATTTGTATGTTGTGCTTTTACATACTCAGATTATTTACTGTTCACTTGATGTCATTTATTAGTATCTGATTTGCTAGAAAAGGTTTCCAAATAGAGATACACTTGGAAATCTCTTGAAGCCATCGTACTTCCAGAGCATATCCACAATTTTACTCTTTGAAGGAGAGTTCTTCAAGCGAGGGAGAAATGATGGGAAGAAATAAAAATAAAAATAATTAAAGATATTACAAGGATATTGTAGATTTAAAAATTAAAAATATTTCACTTTCATATTAATTTCACATATTTTGTTTTAATTTAAATTATTATTATCTTGCAACATTTATTATTATTTTTTCAATTATTGTTATCTTTTTATTTAATTTTAGAATATCTATGATTTTCATACATTTATTTCTAGGATTGAGTTGAAATCTATAAATAGCACCTCAATTCATTTGTTTTGTAGACGCACATTTGATTGAATAAGAATTACTATTACCTTGCCTCTCATTCGAGTTTTCTTTTCTCTCTATTCTCTCTATGATCCCTTTTTCTCTTTTCTATATTTTCTCCCTCTTCTCTTTTCCCATTTTGCATTAGTTATAGTTAAAGAACTGAAAAAAAAATACTTTATAAAATTAAGAGATTAAAATAAAATTTTATATAAAGTTAAAGAACTAAATATATATTTTAACCATTTTTATATAATATATGTTTCTTTTAAAAATATACTGCAGAATGTTTTCCCTTGCTGTATTAAGAATAAAATGCAATATCTTTTTTTATATTCAATATCAATGTATCTTTATCTATTATCATATTACTAAAAAATCATAGCAGAAAGTTATTTTCTTAAAAAGAAAACAAACTAGGGGGAAATAATTTTGTCATATATGCTAAAATATCATAAACTTAAATTAAACAAGTATTGGCCAAAAAAAAATTAAACATAGTAATAACATCCAACTCCTTTCAATTCAAAATGTAAGAGTTAATTAATAAGTTTATTTTCATCCTAAATATAAGACCCCAGTCTTCTTTATCTTTTATATTTATTATTTTTCTTCTAATTTATCTTTATTAATTGCAATGCAAAATTTAAAAATAATTTTCAAAGTAAATAATTAGAATGAACAATATTTTAGGAAAATTAACAATTTTTTACTACCAATTTGATTATTTCTTTTTAATTTATATGAATTCACTATCTATCTGGTACATTTAGAATGGGAGGAGGAAGTAACTTGGATAGATGACTATGCTGAAGGAATTAATTCTCTCAAGTGCAATGGCTCATAGTTCATCCCATAAGAATATGCTTTTTTGTTTTATCAATTTTAGAAGGTGATGAATGACAGGACAGGGAAAGCAACGGGAGCAAGGAAAATCCCATATTTTTGTGAAACAAAAGAACCCAGAGAGCCAACTTATCTTTATTTTTTTTAAAAAAATGGTTTCAAGAAGTTATAAATTTATTTTACTATTTTAAATTAATAGAAATTTTATGTTTAATATCATTTTATATTATAATTTAAATTCCTTCAAAATACAGAGACACACACACACACACACACACACATATGTGTGTGTGGGAGAATGGCATTAACAGCCCTAAAAACACACTTTATTGTACTTGGGGCCTAAATGAATTTGATTTTGCTTTGTAGGCCTTGGGCCCCAATTGCAATATTTCTTCACACCAAAAATATCACTTTACTCTTTGTTTGATTTGAATTCAGAAAAGTTGTGTGAACCCTCGAAGCAACGAAATAGACAAAGCAATTCACTATTTTTCATGTCTTCTTTCTCGTTACACCAGTCGTCACTCTGCCATTGTTGATTATCGCTGATGTGGATGAGTGTAGAAGTCGTGGCCGCTGATGGACGAAGCACAGTTCACAATTTTTCCTCTCTTTTCTTGCATTGAGTCGATGTTGGTCACACTTATGGGGGGTGACTTGTGGAACTCAGCCCCTTGATACCATCAGAAGAGGATTGTGGATCTTCCTCTCTATTCATTCTTCTTCCTTGTTCCTCTTGTATTATGCATTCTCATAGGTTCTTTGCCTCACTTTTCCCTGTGTTGCACATTGTGAGCCATTGCTTCTTAAATCCCTATCTCTCTCTCCCCCTCTCACACACACACACAAAAACTTAACACACAGACATTTCTAGGTCTTTGTACTGTGTGTGTGGGTTTTTTTGTGTTTAGTTTTCACAAACCCTAACACCTCTATAGTTCTCGTAGAGATTGACAAGTATAGCTTGTAGGTATGTAATATAAATTTATATATATATATATATATATATTTCTCATGATTGTCTGATTAGATTTTAAACACGCCAATGAGCTAACCATTAATAAAAACATCTCATTGCCATATAAGAATATCTTGCCAGATTTAAAAGGATGATACTTACTTGTAATGGACTTGGCATCAATCACACTCAAATATGGTAATATTGTTTAAAGGCTAGTATAGGTCTTTCTATAATGATAATGCTCAAATTTGACATTTATGTGCTCCATTACAAGTGTGTGAATGCTATATGAAAAGTGGGAATACATTTG